TCCTTCCTTCCTTCCTTCCTTCCTTCCTTCCTTCCTTCCTTCCTTCCTTCCTTCCTTCCTTCCTTCGTTTTGGAAAGGTTCTCATGTGGCCCAGGGTGGCCTCAAACTCGATATGTAGTTGAGGACACTTTTGACTTCTGGTCCTCCTGCCTCTGCCTCGTGAGTCCGGGGACGGGGGGCACGCAGCACTCCTTGTTCAGGTGGCTGCAGATGGAACACAGTGCTCCATGCATGGGAGACAAGCTGCCACCAGAGCTGCTTCTCCAGCCTCCAAGTTTCAGTCCGATCAAGAACCAATGGCATTCTGGCAAATGGTCCACTTTTAATAGGTTTTTTTTTTTTTTTTTTTTTTTTCAGAAATGCACCAAAAAAAAAAAAATGTCTAGTTGAAAAACATACACATAAAAGGTGCACTTTGCTTCGGATCCCTTTTCTTTCACTTCATTGTTGCCTAACTTGTTTTTCATAGAGTCAAACAGGGGAGAAGTCTTGGCTAACATCACGACAGAACACCATCTCCCTTCCCTCTTTATGAACCCTACACATAGAACATCAACAATCGAATCTTATTTTCTCCTCTGCCTTGATTGTGGCAGAGAAAGGTGCACAGCCAGTGCTGTCACAAACATCCATCCAGAGCGGTAATTATCACATCATTATATTCGCTTTTTCACTTGTCATGTACCATTAGAAGGTAACAAGATCATTGTCAGTCAGATTGTGGAGATAATTAGAGCATCTATAGGTTAGCAGGAAATCACATCAGTGCCAGTCTCCAGCAATGCTCAGGCGCCCAATGTAATTAGAGGCGAAATATGCAAAGGTGGAGATGAATCGAAGCCCGCAGGGACTAGCCGCCATGACTGATCGGAGAGTGGCTCTTCCAGAATCTGACACTGCAGATGGTGGTACTGAAATAGGAGTACGGTTGAAGAGGCAGTGAGAGCCACCAGAAATAGCATGTCAAAGAGCATCTGTGACATCAGTGACACTGGATTTAGCAAAGCCCAGGATTTGGTGTATTTTCCAACCCACTGGTTTTCCTTTCTTCCCTGTTGTTATTCTTTCTAGTCTGGTAGTTCCTCTAGCTATAAAATGGTACTAAGCCAAGCGGGCTTTTGCTCAACCATTTTAGGTTTTAGGGGTTCCTCTCCCCCCCCCCATGATGCACTCTGCCACTGAGATGCATCCCCAAGTTCGTTATGGATTTAGCATATATTTTATTTGTTTGCGCATGTGAGAACATTTGCTCTCAGAGGTGAGGAGAGCATGTTGATCCCTGGGAGCTGGAGTTAAAAGTGGATGTGAGCCAACTGACCTGGGTGCTGGGAACCAAACTCTGGTCTTGGAAGATAAGCAAGTAGTCTTAGCCCAGCTGTTCTCAACCTTTGGGTCATGACCCCTTTGGGCATCACTTAAGACCCTTTAGAAAACATAGACATTTACATTACAATTCCTAACAGTAACAAACTGACAGTTATGAAGCAGCAACGAAAATATTATAGTTGGGGGTCATCACAATATGGCAAACTGTATTAAAGATTCACAGCATTAGGAAGGTTGAGAGCCAGTCTCTTAACCACTGTGCAGTTTGTTTTTAAAGTCTGTGAGCTTTCCATGTGCCCCTATCCTCAAACAGGAATCTTGTCACATGTCCCTATGCTTTCTCAAGAGCTCCATGGAGCCTCAGAAGTCCATACAGCAGCCATGATTTCTGTCCTTTTTGTGTCTAAAGCCACTTTGACCCAACTGACCTTGATTGCTGGTTTTCCACCCCTAGTGAGATACAAACCTTAATCTAAATAGTGAATTTAGCAGTTTGAAAATAAAAATTAGCATTAATATTTGTGTTTGTGCATGCGTACACAAATATATGTAGGGATACACACGTGTAGGTCAGAGGACAACTTGTAGGAGCCAGTTCTCCTTTTCTACTGTCTGGATCTACTATGTGAGGACAGAACTCCGGGAGTCCAGCTCAGCAGCATGTGGCTTTACCCTGTCCTCCATTATCTCTCTACCCCAATTCTATCAGTCCAAAACAAGAAAACTTACCTTACCCTTTTCTTTCAGGCTGGGTCTCCAGTAAGCCATGCTGGCCTTAAGAATGACCTTGAACTGTAAGACCAAACAACTGAGTGTGCATGCCACACCCCCAGGTCAGAGAAATAACCTTCAGTCCTTTTCTTCCACCATGTGGGTCCCAGTGATGAAAAGTCTGTCAGGCTTCGGGGCAAATGCTTTATTCTGCTGAGCCACCTTTATCCTGCTGAACTTCTGATCCCTCTGCCCCAACGCCCCAAGTCCTGGGGGACTCACAGGTCAGCACCACATCTCATTTCTGTGGTGCTGGGGTGGAACTCAGCGGGCTCTGTGCAGACTGGGTGAAGGCTCTCCCAACCGAGTTACGGCCAGATCCCTGGGGAAGCTGATTTTGTTCAGAACGTACAAAAATGTAAACAAACGCATCACTGCCAAAAGATGCTGGGCCAGCTAACGGCTCCCACTACCACCCAGGTGACAGGCCACTGGTGAGGACCTTACTGCTCTGGCCCAGGGGGTTGCACAGCCGGTGGTCGGGGTGGGGTGGGGTGTCTTTTCTAGAACCTGGTCTAGAGGAACACCTCATACAAAGAAGCACCTGGAAGCTTGGTTCACATTTTTTAATAACATGGCACATTTACATTACACAAGAAGGCTCCTCCAATGAGACATGCTGAAGATCCCGCTGCTTCCCTTCCTGTTCGGGTAGGATCTGGAAAGGACTTTTTTTTTCTTTCTTTCTTTTTTGTTTCCTTTTTTTTCTTCTTTTTTCTTTTTTTTACATACAAGAGAAACAGCAAAAAGGCCTGTACAAGAACAATCTCTTTACAATGCTGACAGCTACCACTACAGTTCCAGTGCACAGAATCCTGGGAGGTTTTTTTTTTTTAGTAATTGTTTTAAAAAACAAAACAGAAAAAAAAAAAAAGAAAGAAAGAAAGAAAATAAAACACTGCACACGTCTGGTGTCCACAAAATTGGAATTCACAACTAAACCTTCAGTTGACTACTAAAATAGATCTCTCTGCTTTTAGAAACAATGGTCTGTAGTTTACATTTTTCTTTCAAAAAAAAAAAAAACAGGATAACAATGTCGGATAGCACTTTAATATACTAGAGGACCAAATGGGACTAATTTTTATTTCTTACATGTATTTTACAGGCCAGTAGACAAGATATATTGTATTTTCTCGGCTAGTAAAGTCATATTCTCTCCAAATATGTAGACAAGAGGGTTAATGTCCTTATAAAAGTGTCATGAAGACATTAAGACTGATGAAAACTTGACACATACACACACATCCTCTCAAGCACACACACACACACACACACACACACACACACACACACCACCTCTGCCACTTTACGCCCTCGGTAATTCCTGATGGCTCTTACAAGATCTACCTGTTCAGCTCCTTCCCAGGCTTCCGTTTCCTATAGGAATATAAATGGTTCACACTGGGCTCCATATACCTTCAATCTGCCGGTTACCGTGAAAGCATATCCATCATCTGAGAAAACCCCGACAGCTTTCTTTCAGGACCTGTGTGAGTGTCCTTAAATCATACTGTGGAACAAGGAAGTGTGTACATGTTATGAATAGGACACGGGGGGAATCAGGCATGGCTCCCTCTTGAAGTTGCCAGCAATAATACGGCATCAGAGGCGACCAGAAACTCTGGTGACCTGTTTGTGCGGGCAGACACAGCCCATCTGCCCCGATTATCGGCAGAACAATCCCATCTTCCCTGGGCAAAGCTGCTTCCGGCTCTTAGATACACTTTCTAGGGGTGTACCTTTCCCCATGTCTCCCCGGAAGACCACAAGCAGCAACTTCGGATACAAAGTTCAAGCCTGGGTTCCAGATTAAAAAAAAAAAAAAAAAGTGGGGGGTGGGTTGTTCTCCATTTGAAAAACAAAACAGAACAAAAGATAACAGTTGTCTAATGTCTCAGGTTAGCGCTTGTTCAGGGAAAATATGACCTTAAGTATGTTGTAAATGGATTTGAAAAGGCTCCTTTGAGTTAGATGGGCTTTGGGAAAAAGCCCTGGTATTCATTGCATAGTTGAAGGGTTTAGCAGATGGGAACCCGGCCTCCTCCGAGGGCCGAGTTCGCTGATATTAGACTTGTAAATAGCACATTTGAAGAAGTATTAGTGTATTATGATACTTAATCTTTACCTATTTACATCTGTACAAGTAAAGCTTTCGTCTTTATCTTTTGCATATATGAACCGTCAGCTCATGAAGCAATCTCTTTTTACACTCTATGTACATGCCTCCTCCTCTGAGACAGCTCTGGTGATGGAGAGATGTCCCCGCCCCATTATCATCAGATCCTTGTGTGTCGTTACCTTCACCGTTTTGGTTCAAATCAAAGTATTATGCAAGGAACAACAACGAAAAAGTAAGGAAATGTAAGAACAAACAGGACCTGTCTAAAAGGTCAGAAATATTCCAACATTAATATACAAAAACATTTCAACATCCAAACGGAGTCTCCGTCCATTTTTTTTTCACCTCTCAAGTTTTGGGGGTGCAGGAGTTGTCTCTTGAGTCTTGGGGTGTGTCTCTGGGGTTTCTCCCCCATTCCGAGGTTCGCCTCGTCCTCCTGGCTTATCGAGCTTCGATGTCCTTCAGTGTGTGGGACGGTGGCCTCTCTCGGATTTCAGCCGACAGAGGCGTAGTCCTCCGGGGGGACCCGGGCCGGCCCCCCAGTGTGGAGATGAGCGGAGGCGGGGCGCTGAGCGCCGCGGTGGGCGGGGTCTTGTTGAGCAGTCCGTTCTGGTGGCCTGCAGTGGGGCTGATGCGAGGGTAGTGCATACTAGGCAGGCCCGGCGTGAGCAGGCTCGGGTGTGGGAGGGGTCCGTCCAGAGAAGCGGGGTGCACAGGGTGCAACCGTGGGTGTTCGTAGTCCTCCCGAAGCACGTGCAGCCGCTCGCGTTCGTCCAAGTGTCCACCCCGTTCGTGCTCCCGTCGAGGGTCCACAGCCAGCGGGTGATGGTGGTGGTGGTGGTGGTGGCTGTAATCATGAGGCTCCCTGTCCCGGAAGGAGCGGTCCGCTTCGTACAGCCGGGGCGTGGAGAGCCGGTGCAGGGGGTCATTCCTAAGCAGGAAGTCCCTGCCCAGAGGGTCCCTTCGGTGCATGTCCAAGTCACGGTAAGGATCCCTCAGGGGGTCCCGCATGGGGTCCCAGTGGAAAGAGGGGTACGGGAAGCGCTCTCCCCCCGGGATCGGACTGAGGCCCATAAACGGGGTCATCATGCGTGTCCTGTCCAGACTACCGATACTGTTCATGGCATGGATGCCAGTCACTCCCATGGTCATGGGCATGGATGCCAGCGGCCCCGGGTGCGCACTGGCGCTGGCTGAGGAGCTGGGCGGAGGTGCCTCTGAGGTCCTGTGGGCCTGCGGGGCCTCGGTGGATAGGTCGTGGTCTTCCTTGCGCTCCTCTTTGACCTTGACCTCGGCGCTCTTCTTGGGGTTCTCGTAGGCCGGCTCACCCTTGCGTGGCTCGGCTTCCCGGCTAGAGGTGCTGTTAGGCCTGGTGCTGTCCACGCCTGGTGTTCTCACGTAAGGCGATGGCACCCGGGACAGCTGCTTGGGTTCCTCGCCTGCTGCACGTCCCTCGTGGCTATGCCCATCTCTCTCGGGCAGATGGCCTTCCTTGGCTTTGTGCTCTTCGGTGGTCAGGTCCTTTCGGGATCCCGAGTGGTCTCTCTCCCTCTCTTTTGGTTTATCTTTCTCACGAGCCTCAGTATTCAAATGACCCCTGGTAGTCGGATCAGTGGAGCTGCGGTTATGGCCCAGGGCGCTCACCGGGACAGGAGGTGCTGGGGAAGGATGGTTGGGGTGTCTTTTCTCAACGCTTTCCCTGTGAGGGGGAGAGGGGAAAAAATGAAATGGGCTTGCCAGCCAGGCAAGGAGAGGTCGATGAGATGGTTGGCGTGAGGACAGGTTAGATACCCAGGCAGTGGGCATGCCCTGCTTCAAGGCAGACAGCCACCTGCTCTAATCTAGACTCTAGAGGCAGCTTCATGGGTGAAGGCCTACAGAGGAGGGTGAGTGGGGGTCCCGGGCACCTGCCTTGACCAAGGTCACAAAGGAAGTGCATGGAGAGCCACTGTGGACTAGTGTGGTCACTGAGGAAGGCCAAAGGACAGCCCATCTGTTTAGCATCTCAGGATAGCTTTAGGTTAAGAATACAAGAGCCAAATCACAAATTAAGACTTCTTCAGACTCTAGATACAAGCTGAGAAGGTGGAGAGAGGTGAAAGGGTTTTCCAGCAGCTGAGTCTCAGGACAAAGGCATTACTTCAGTGTGAAGGGTGGAGATCAGTGGTTCTCAACCTGGGGATCATAACCCTTTGTGGAGGATGAAGGACCCTTTTATGGAGGTTGCCTGAGACTATCAGAAAATGCAGATGTTTACATTATAATTCATAACAGAAGCAAAGTTGCAGTTATGAAGCAGCAACGAAAATGATTTTCTGGTTGGGGGGTCACAGCATTAGGAAGATTGAGAAGCACTGGTGCAGATACAGAATAAGGGTGGTTGGGAAGGCAACCCCGCTCTCAGATGAATGGAATGCCAGAAAGCTCCAACCTGATGTGTTCAGACTGGGCTGGGCTGTGGTCAGAGCACGAAACCTCACGGATTGAGGTCCCCATCAGAGAGGAGCTATGAAGAGACTGTCATAGGAAACATTCAGGGACCTGGCTCGGGCAGGGTGTGTCTACCGATAAAAGGAGGAACAGGAGATAAACAGTTCCACCTCAGAGGTAAGAGGGACAAGAAAGCTGATGCATCGCATCTCAGGACTGATGTGGGAAAGATGAGGGGAGGAGCCAGAGGTTATGAAGACCAAGAAGTGGTGGAGATCGGAGTCCAGGAAACCACGGTGGGGTGCGGGGGGGAGTGGTCATTGTTAGGGAAGCTGTCCTATAAATTCCACTTGCTGCTAACGTGCAGAGGCTGACAAAGAGTAACTTCAAAGGGGAATATAAACATCTTTCAAGTTTCCCCATCTTCAATACAAGAGGCATTCTGACTCAATCAAGAAAAACCAAAGCAAGCCTATACACTTACTCAATAAAAAGCTATTCAGATCCTCCATGTTCTGTGGGTGTGGTGCCTTTTAGTACTTTAGAACCCCTAGAGGTTGAAAGATTTTTTTTTTTAATTACAACTTTCTCATATGGCAATTTGTCTTTTTCTCCCACAAGAAACCAACCAACATAACATAACAGTTTATAAAAGACACCTTATCAGCCAGTTTTTTGTTGTTGTTGTTGTTTTGCTTTGTTTTTGAGACAGAGTTTCTCTAGGTATCCCTGGCTGGCCTATGTAGACTAGGCTGGCCTCGAACTCACAGAGATGCACCTTCCTCTACCTCTGGAGTGCTGGGATTAAAGGCATATGCCATGTTACTGGTCTATTTAGAAATGGAAGGGTTGATTTCTTTATAAATTACTAGGGCATATACCTGCACAATAGACACAGTAAAAGAAAATTAAAGAGCTGAATAAATTTGAATTTTCCTGTGTGTCTGTTTGTGTGTCTGTGTGTTTGTGTGTGTGCCTGCAGATGCATACCATTAAGCGATTGTGCAGGTCAGCCTTGGGGGTCGGACACAAAGGCAAGGTGGGGCAAGGTCTCTGAGGTTACACACACACAACACACTCGCTACTGTGCCCAGCTTTGCACAGATGCTGGGGATCTGAACTCTCGTCTCCACACTTTCAGGGCAAGTATATTAAGTTAGTACTTAGCCTAAGGTAAATACTGAGCCATTTCCCCAGCCTCAAATTTCAATCCTAAGTACAAAAAATCAGGGTTTTGGGCTTTGTTTTGTTCTGTTGCCAAGTGTATATAGCCATGACGTTTCAGTTTGTTCGAAATGAAAACAGCCTCAAAAAAAAGAAACAAAATGCCAACGGCCTGCATAAAATACTGAGATGTTTCTTCTTTTAAGATAGTTTTACAAAAAGGCTAGTATGCAGACAACAATGGTTAGTAAAATTAATAATTCCCTGGAAAAGCAAATGCAAAGCAAAGCTTCTTGTTGCTGCTGTCTAACTCCAGATTAGTTTTAAAAAACTAAAAAACAAAAATAAAAACCAAAATTGTACTGATTGTCTATGAGCCCCAGGGTTTGGATGACACTTGAGAAAAATAGGATGAAGTAATGTAAACATGACTTACTAGAAGCAAATGAAGGAAAAACAAAAACTGAAAACCTATGGGTGACTGGATGGACTTCACGACTCAAAAGCAAACATGACAGATTCATGCTGTGTGTGTGTGTGTGTGTGTGTGTGTGTGTGTGTGTGTGTGTGTGT